GAAAGATAGGGGATACCCTTGTCACACCAGGACAGGAAATAAAGGGAGAAGTTAAAGACAGAAAAAGAGACAAAACTTGTGTAGTGATCTGATATGTGGATGTAAAACCACTTCAGACTATTTTGGACAACCTCTCAATGAAGCCTGCCGGTGATGGACACAACATGTCCTCACATGTACCTCTCTGAGTTACATGCACACATGTGGTGACAGAGTTTGGTGAATAAACTCTAACTCTAGTTGTGAATCATTCACATGCTGTTCAAAGACTAAACACTGTAGGAAAACACTATGACATACCGTGACAGTGATTTACAATGTAACTGTGTGCATGAATCATTTCCATTTTAACAGCATCGACCTCAGAGTCAGTCATGTACATTTGATTTTCTTTTCACAAAAATTTTTGTCTTAAGGATGTGGTTGCTTGTCAGTTGGCTGAACAGTAGATGTCACTTCATGTCTGCCTTAGACCACAGTTTGCAACCAGACTCTGCTTTCGACAAGAAACATAACCCTTTATTTGAGAAAAAACACACACAGATTCCCCTTTCTTTGCTGTTCAGACCTGCCCGCATTCCTCCTCCTCAAACCGGGTGTTACAACGCTTTCTGTGACCAGTGAGATTCTGTGACCTGAAACGGAATGCCATAATGCTACCATAGCCACATACAACTGCTAACGGTACGTTAATGGCTGTTACCCACCAACCGCGAGACCCCGTGTATTTAAATTGGGTCACACATTTTAATAGCTGTCGAAGCATAGAGTAGTGGTACTACTACTGCTACTACCAGTACAGGTCTGTGTGTAGAGTCCTAACACCTCACCTGTCAATCTTTGATAAAAAAAAAAAAGTATTTTTCTATAGTTGACGCGCAGCACCATAAAATGTGACAGGTCACAGATTCCGTCGCAGCATTTCAGTTTACTCGCCTTAAAAACGAGGCAACTGTTCAAAAAAGTTAGTAAGAATGATTATAGTAAATCAAAACAGCTCAGTAGTAATTATTATGCTTTTAATTGCCAAATAAAAGTCGTAGACATAGTCTTACTACTGTAAGTTAACGAACATTTTAAATATTTCGCTAACTTTAGCGCCAGCGGTTACGTTTAAACGAGTAAACGTTAGTTTGTTTCCCCGAACATCAGAGAAGGAGAAGAGGGGGTACGTATTTTTTTTTTTTTTTTTTATCTTTTGGCAACTTTCTGCAAACTCCAAACGTATAAACACAAACTCTGTGAAAAGCTCGACTAAAAGCCGAATAATGGCAGTCTCACCTCGTCCGGTAACCTCAGTGCTGGTTGTTTTCCACCGCAGTACGACGAAAAGTTGCTCTTTCTCTTCCTCTCGTTTTTTCGCTCTGTGATTCCGTCGATTGAGGAAGTGTGGCGCCTGCTCACAGTGGCTTTCTCGGTAGGCTGTGACGTTTACCTGCTACACACACTTGCACATGCACACACACGCGCACAGTTTGCGTCCCAGTAGTTGCCGTGCACCCAGTTGGCCTATTTTGATTGAAGGTCCTGTCAGTTATTATAATGCATTTTCCACATGACCTTGACAGTTCACTTGTTCAGCACACACGCACAGACGTCTGCCCCAGCCACAAATTACACTTTCCACCCTCCCGTGTGATTAACATAATGGTGTGGGTTCATCACTGCAGACCTGTTGATCACCTGAGCCGAGGAAAAAAAAACCCAGGCCACCATACCTGTGCATAAAGATCTGCATTGCTGTTGAGAGTGCCCTAGATTACTGCTGTAGCATAGCCTACTATGTGGGGGAAGATTTATTTTTTTCCACTTTGTGTCGCAGGGGGTGGGGTCACGTGGCTGGTAGGCTGCGGGGGTAGTTTAGAGGTTTGAGCTAGGCTTTGGTGGTGAGGAGGTGGCAGATTTGGCTCCTGCTGCCAAAATGATCTTTTCTTGCTCTAGACTAACACAAGCACTGCAAATTATCCACACCATTTATTTATTTCATGCCTGTATTCACCCACACACACACACACGCACACACACACACACATATGTGTGTGTACAAATGGGCAAGGATAGAACCTCATTTATGCCAGCTGAGCTATTCTCATCTTTATGACACAAATGAAATATTGGCTGAAGTGAACAAAGCTCTACATTAGGAATGCTGCAGAACATAAATCCATGCAAGGTGGGTCATAATGAAATGTTTAAGAGCAGTTTCAAAGTATGAAACTGTGTGTGCTGCTGTAAGTTCACATAAAGTGAAACCTGCCAGGAGCAGGCAGACAGGCCACAGGTGTGTCAGTGTTCCCCTCTCTCCTCAGAGGACTTACATAACAGACAGATTGTGACTCACGGCAGACACAGGAAGTCTATAGTGGAGACTGGGTGTGTGTGTGTGTGTGTGTGTGTGTGTGTGTACGTGTGTGTGTACGCACACTAAAGACTTCCCTGCTCACTGACTCCTCTCTGATTCTGACAGATGCACATTCAAAGCTCAAGGAAACCTCTCCTTCTGTTCTCCCTCTAGCAAACACACACATCCACACATACCCACTGTCATGATCCACCTGTGGGATATAGGCTATAGGCTGTAGAACAGCCCAATGTTAAATTTAGCACGCGTAAAGAGAGCCTGATGAAGATCCACACAGAAACCATATCTATCGAGTTGATACATATGACAATATAGCTCATGGGAGAAAGTTGCATCATTTGCAGTTGAGTTTGCATTTGTAGCGTATTAATGTATGAATAAGTTATGATTTTATAAGGGTTGTGACCATGCCATTGATTTCCTAGATAAATCAGATACATAGCAAGATGATTAAACATGAAGAAAAAGAAAAACATTCAAATTAGGGGGATTTTATTTCCTCTTTAAATAAACCACTGTATATACTTTTACATCCTCTTGGTCCCTACTATAAATGAACCAATCTGAGAAGGAAAGATCGCTTCTTGGTTGAATTGCTTACCAATTATGTCAACTCTAAGATCACAATTTGTGACAGTAGACACTGCTCCATTTTAGAGCCAAAAAGGATGGGAACCAATTTATTTTCCAATATATTTTTTATTCATAGAGAGTTAAACACATGGAGAATTAATTGATGAATGGGAAGGGTCTAAAAAGAATAATGCATGAGTCCAGGAAAGGTGATCACAAGTGTCACAGTAAACTAATAGTAATTTTGTTAAAATATATAAATAAATAATAAGGAAAGCTGCACTGTTTGAGAGTCACTGGTTGTCAAGACTACAATTTAAGTCGGCAGCTGCTATGTCAGTAGGTTGAGCTCTCTGGTGATGATGCTGCTACAGCAAATATGTCATCATGCCACAGGGGAATTGGCCTTTCAAGGAATTGTTCAACATTTTTGAAAATACTCTTTTTTTCATGAAGAGAGTTAGGTAAGAAGAGTGATACCACTCTTGCCTCTCTACGCAAAACTAAGTGCAGCCAGCAGCTGGTTAGCTTAGCTTAGCATAGCATAAAAACCTGGAAACATGGGGCAACACCCAGCTAGGCTCTCTGCAAAGGTATCAAAATCAGTCAGCACCTTTAGCGCAACATTAATGACCAAATTATACCTGGATACAAATACCACAACTGTTAACCAACAAACTTGGTTTTGTGTACCAAACTATTTCCTGGACCACATCTTCACTGGTTGCCTGGCAACTGCTCCGAGACAAGAAACACAGTAGTTCATCACATACACCTTTTTACTTATCAATTTTTGTATGGATTGCAAAAACAAGATATGCGGTACTGATTAGTGATCTTAGAGGTACTGGTGGGTGGATTTTGTTATGTTTGAACAGAGCCTGTCAAGCTGTCTCTCACAGCCTTCAGTCTCTGTGTTAAGCTAAGCTAACTAGCTGCTGCCTTCAGCTACATGTTTGCAGTACAGATGTGAGAGTGGTATCAATCTCATCCAACTTTTGGCAGGAGAGCAAATGTGCATATTCTTAAAAGTCAAGGTCAAAGTCAAAATACAAAAAGGAAAAAATCACTGTCTGTCTTTGGCTTGGCTCAAAGACTCCAGACAGATTTGAGCTCCCTCAGTGACAGCTGCCAGCCCTGCTGACATGACTTTGTACTACTTTCTCTGCAGATAGTTGTCGATGACAGAATGGTCATAAGACACTGGAAAGTACAATGCAGACTCCATGTTTAGGCAACAGGGATAATAAATGTTCAGTCGGAGGTGCAGAGTGTTCTGAGGGCTGTATGTTTTTCTCTGTTTGTCCTGTTGAGGGAGAGTGGGCTATTTAAAGCTTTAGGGGAGGTGGAATAGGTGTAACATTGACTTGGCAGTGTAGGCTGCAAACAGTTTGCAAAGTGGGACATAAGAGTGCGTCTCTCTTTTCTTCCAGCCTAACTATCCACATCATTTTTTCTCTCCCTCTCCCCATCTCTGAGCGGTGCTGAGGAACACAAGGCAAGGTGCAAACCCAAAACTGTCGAGCCAATGTCAAGTGGACACAGCTATTTTCCGCTCTCTCCTGTTTCTTAGTCTTTTTATTTAAATCTGTAGCTGTTATGTAATAAAATCTGTCCCTTTCCCTTTGAGGATCTGCTGCCCACACAACACTACTAAACATAAGAAGCCTTGCTGTTGTAAATCACGACATACACATAAACAGTGCATTGCCTTAAAACTGAAAATGGCCAGAAAGTATGTCAGTGTAAGGTTGTCATTTAAGACAGCTCACACAACTCTGATGTCAGAGCATCGTGGGTTAAAAAAAAAAAAGCCATAGATCAGGAAACTCAGCTCAGGAAATATTTTTGGTATCACTTGTTAATGATTCCTGAGGCTGCGCACATATAACAGAGCTGAATGCATCTGACCTTATTGAGTAGGCTGTGTGTGATGATTGATTATTTTCTTCTCTCTGCATTGCTCCTGCCTACGGCAATATGGAAGTAAGCTTGGATTATGACACTGTTGCTGCCCCTCTGTGAAAAAAAAGCCTATCTCTCCACCATCAATCCCACAGCAAGTTTTTTTTTTTTATTAATTAGCTCACAAGGAATCTTTACAAGTGCAACTGAACGTTCCAGTTTTGGTCCCATTTACTCTTCAACTACTAACAACTAGAAACAACAACTATAAGTCAACAATTATATTGATTCTTGCTGCTTTGGTCAAACTAGAAAACTTGGAAGCAGACATATAGTAAAAATATAAACATGATAAAGCTCTGTTTTACATATCACTATAACTGACAGAGTACACTTTGAAGTAATGTGTTCTTGAGATTTCTCTCTTTCAGTGTTGCAGAGACAAAATCAAGCACTCAGCACTGGACTACAGCCAATAAAATGATGTTATTGCAGTGGAAGGACAGAGTGAGAAGGGACAGGTACAGGAAGTGTGGGGCGATAAATACTGTCACTCATAAGGTGCTGTATATGCATATTGTGTCTTAACCAACAGCAGCAAAGGCAAAGAAAACACAACTAATATATTTGAGAAACGCAATAGAAGAAGGGAGAAAACAGAATTGGGGCTAGAAAGGGAGAAGAGAGTGATGAATGATCTGTCCTCTATTTGGGACGAGGTGTCTGCATCTTTTCAGGAGCCCCAGAAAGCAAACTTTCTGCCTGATATTATTCTGGGTCAGGAAGCCTCAGGGGGAGACAAGAAGCAGAGCAGGCCTGGCCTTTCTTTGGCCGAACAGCACACTGGACTGTGTATCACTCAGTCCCTGGTGTCTTCCCGAGCAGCTCACAAGTGTGATCTGAAACACTCACCAGTTTGGTGTTTCATCAGAACAAGCCACACATGGAGTACATGCCAGCAGAGACACAATATACTCATTTAGGGCGTGCTACAAGTGGAGTGCAAACAGTTGTGGCAGCATAGTGGGAAATGTTTCCATTTTTACTGTATGTACTGAGCTCCATCAGCAAGGACACAGTGACAGGAAGTCAATGACAGCCTACTGTACTTTAGTGTTTAGTCCACCTGCCATCTAGAGGACATGCTGAGGATGAGGACAAAACACAGACACAGGCTGCTTCCATCATTACAGCCTCCTTTACTTGATTTTAAAACCATAGTGTTAGAAATAAACTTAATAAATCATCAAGTACAGTACAAAGTCCAGGACACTGATAATGTAGATCAGTGAAATAAGTGATTCATAGTTCAATCCAGGGCAACACATCTGTGCACAGCTGGACATGGAGTCTTTATACAAATATGACTTTACATTATATTTGTTATGGGTATTTAAAACAACAAAGACATTCATGTCCACATTTTCCCAATCGAAAAGTATGTTAAGTAAATTAAGTAAGTAGAGTGGTTGCAGCTTTTGGCCTCTATGATGAAGATACTACACTACTACACTCATATATCTTTTCAGGTTCATTCCTCTTTACATCAGTGCAAAAAAAATCATAGAAACTATTCATTCACTGGCAGGACTGTCTCCAACAATACAGTACATATGGCAAAGCTACAGACACTTCTTTACATATAAAATTACTCATTCTTTGATTCAGCCTGTGCTTCAAAGTATTAGTCATAGAGATTTAATCCAGTGGAAGAACGTATGTTGAGACAAAGGTGTAACTAATTACGTAGCTAAAAACTGAAAATCAAGCCATTCCTGATGCGGGCATTTCTGAGTGAGGTTGAATTTGTCTGTTATATTTTCTGCCTCCCTGAAAACGACAGTAAAATGACTGCGTATGTTATTGAACTGATTTGTTTATGTTGTCCTGAAATATTGGATATATTGAAAAAACAGTTGAAGTCATAGAATATATATTTCTTTTCCAAAAAATCCACAATCTTCCCTTTGATCTGGAGGAAAGACGCTGCTCAGCTGCTAGAAGAAATACAGGTCACATCAATGTGATGTTCCACACTGGCAGGTATCTGGGCCACGGCCTCTCGTGGCTCTCAGCATCACACCTGCTGTAACAGCGGGCAGGGTGACAAAGTAGGTGATCATGTTCCCTCTCAAAGAACAAAATGTCTCCTTTTCTTCAGTCCAGCCAGGGAGGTTACAGCTTGTAGACATAATCATATATTCTTTTTTATTCCCTATCTTCCCTTTTTGGTTTCACAGTTGGTCAGTTTTTTAGGGACACGGGTTTGTAGCAGAAGAAAGGCAGCAGACTTCTATTTTCAGCAGCCTGCCACTGAGGCTGATCCTATAAAACTGTGGCTTCCTCCATGGCATTTGCCCACCTGTGTGAGGAGCAGATTTTAAATTAGGAAAAAGAAACAGCATGAACTGCAGTTGTGCTAAATGAATAATTGCAGTCTGGTTTGCCTAAAAACTACCAATCCCGTGCCTGTCAGCATGACATATACCCTCATTACTAACTGAGCTAATTTTATAACTTGCTCCTGAATATCAAAAATAACTATATTTTGTCCATGAGGGGAAAGTTTAGCCAACTTTTCTGTTTCTGTAAACATTAAGAGACAATGTTGAAACTCCAAATCTGGCGATGCTCATGTTTTCACTTCAGTCTAAACTTGGCTCATAAACTCTTTGGAACCCAGTGAGTAATGTGAAAGTTATAAACTTGACTGTTTTTCTTATTTTTTTTCCAAGACTGCAAACTTAACTCAACTCAGTAGGGACCCTGTGAGTCATTCACACGAGAGAAGAGCAGATCAGCTTATAGTGAGTCTATATTGCAGTAGCACTGTGTTAAATTGTTAAAATGAGCTATTGGGTAGGCATGCTTCTCACCTCTGGGCTGTGTAGTTGTCCTCAGCTTTAAAGGTGTAATACAAAGTGTTTTTGTGGTAAAGCTGGAAGACGCTGGCCTCCTCCTCTCCCTCCTGCTTGTCCGGCAGCTTCACTGTGAAACCCAACAGAGGCAAACTCTCTGACGCCACTTTCTCCTGCAGACAGAAAATTTCATCAGGGAAAAAAGCGGATTATAAGATGTGGTGATGTAACCGTGGGCTTCTCGGCACTTTTAGTTATTTTTAGTCGACTGGCGGCTACAACTAAAACTCCAACTGATGTCTCCTGACAGTGTGAAGTGTGTGAGTGAATGAATATGTGCTGTTCAGGTTAAAGGGGAGTGCATGTTTCCCCTCACCTCTTGAGCTCGGTAGGTGTAAAGCACCTTGTCTTTTAGGAGGAACCACAGTCTCTTCCAGTTCCTCTTGCTCTTCTTGGTACGCTGTAGACTGCCACTAATGGAGCCTTCCTCTGACTCCGTCACCTGCACAACAGTGGCAGTGTTACGTAGAAAATTATGGCATAGCTGTCATTCACATCATCAACAATTCATCAATCTGCACTGTGCAGCAAACGTGGCTCCTCTGCAAAGAGAGGGAGGTGTACCTGATTGAAGGACATGGTGCCTTTGCGATGTCTCCAAATGTTGGGAGGATGAATGTTTTGAAACACAGCAGAGAGCGGACGACTGGAGCGGTTTGGACGAGGGCTACTTTTAGCTGTAAGTGCAGACACATCTCCCCCTGCGCAGACATACAACTTGCTTTATACCACAGGATATGCATGAGTAACAATGGAAACTATACAGTAATATACAACAATATGGATCCACAAATGTGGACAGACATTTTTGTAAGTACAATAAGAGAAAAGTTTTTCTTTATTAATGAACCTGAGCTTCAGTTTTGCTGCTTTTATAAATTACATGTACTGTTTTAGATAAATTAGAGCATAATTGCCCTCACCACGGTGTAACAAATTGAAGTCAGTTACGTATATTTTTGTTTGGGCACCTTTCATACATTTTACATTATCCTCATCCTACATCCAGTGTGGCTGGATCTATATGAAATAACTACATTGTGCTGTGAGCACTGCACTGATGTTTTTGATGTGCACTAAGTAATTATGGCCCACGACTTTCAACTTTTATTTCTACTTTTCCAAATCTACCACTTACTGTGTACTGATCATCCTTCCTGTAAAATAAACTTATGTCACCTCTATCTGATTTCAGTCCATTGTAAGTGGGGCACTCCTCCTGGATTTAACTTCACCTGAGGCTGGCCCTTCTTCTACTGATAACTATTAGTGATGTAGTTAACTAGTGAAGGGTTGTCATATTGCCTATATTGGTTAAAAGAAGAATAGCAACTCATCTGTGGACAGATAAAGCAGACTGACAGTCAAATTGTTTGATGAAAGCAGAGTTTCCCCACCTCTCTTCTTCAGCTCGTTGTAACAGTGATCACACACTTTGGCCATGCGGTCTTTCATGTATTTCAGTGGATATCTGTTCCTGGAGCAGCTCCGACAAACAATCTGTATTTTAAAAAAAATACAGGCAGCAAAGGCAAAATGAAAACATTAAGCACATTCAGCATTCTGGTCAAAGGCACAGTTTGTTGCATCCTGTCTGTCAGATTTTAAAGTATCATAGAGCACTGCGTTTTTTATTTGTGTGTGACTCACTCTCCCGCAGCCATGGCAGTGGTGTCTACGAAGAGTGAGGCTGAAATCTGAGGTGCAGTTCATACACATCATCACTTGTGAGACTGGAACAAGTGTGGGAGCTTTCTCCCCGAGAGACAGATGCAGACGATCTCTAGCCTGGAAAAAAACAAAAAAAACAAAACACAAATGCGCACACAGACACAGACACAGACACAGACACAGACAGACAGACAGACAGACAGACAGACAGACAGACAGACAGACAGACAGACAGACAGACAGACAGACAGACAGACAGACAGACAGTAAGGAGTTATAAGGCCATAAGCTGTAACATCAGTCATATAGTGGTGAGGATAAGCATTACTGTAGAAAATGTTGTTGAGTAATGACATTACGGAACGAAAAAGCAGCGTTGACTCACTTCTCCTGAGCAGCTGTTGAATACTACAGATCCTCTGGAGTGTTCAGTTACAGTGCGGCTTAGAGTGTAAAACCAGTCCTCTCTTTCAATGAAGGAACTGCAAAACGTACAAATAATTCAATACACTCAATACACAGTTTTTACAGTTATTGCAGAAGTCATTAACACCAAATATGCAAAATATCAGCTGCATCAGTGAACACTTTGTTTATGTTTTAGGTTTAAAATGTTTTAACCTTCTGTGATGATGTGGACATTTGTCATGATTGCCATTATTAGTTATTATCCATCATTTAAACACAGTAGAGTGTGACCCACCTCGCAGACAAAGTGATGGAGATGTCTGTTCCTTCGATCTTCAGTGCATTTTGGACATTTTCTGTGATGGGTTTACTGACCTGGGTATCAGTTGAATATCACATAACAAAAATGAGAAAGACAAAAAGAAGAGGGGGGGGGGTTCTTCCTGTGAAATTAAATCTTTAAAAAGGCAACAACAGCTATGTATTATATTATTACATTATATTACAGTCTCTACACCTGATTCTTACTGTGTGAATGAAGTTTCACTTATTAACAAACATTGCGGTGTGTAAGATTACAATGTCTTTTACTACAATGTAGGATCTAAAATAAGGACAAGTTAAGAAATGTGTCTCTACTTCTGAAAATTGACAGTTACGCTGGGGCAGAAAACAAACTACTTCTCTGTAGTGTACAGCTATAGAGGACTTCTGTGGTCATCTGAGAGCAAAAACTGTAACATAATAAAGTCATGCAATCACATATTGCATACATGTAGGTGCATCAAACATAGCTAATCTAGAAATTATTATTTTGATCACACAGTAAGAATAAGGTACACTGGCTATAAAATCAATATCAAGTGTTGACTGACTCCTCTTTTTACTCGTTTATTACACAGTAAGAATAAGGCTGTTGGCACCATTTCTCCCAAATGTCAGCTTTGCTGCCCAGGAATGTTTCCTGTAGGTATCCAATATCGACAAAATGATAAAATACGGGCTGTAGTTTAATATGTTACCAATACTTTTATGACTGTAGTTTGCTTAAGAGTTGGGAAAAGCTTTACATCTCATTAATTCTGAGGAGGAAACCACAGTTAGAAATCAAAGAGATTACGACATGAGGTGACTTCATGAAAGACTCTGACCTTCAATCCAGTGAGTGGCAGAGTGTTCTTCAGTCTGTATTTCCCGTCCTGCTGAGGGTAGGTGTAGAGCAACACATCGTTCATCTGACAACAGAGATAACATTCATAATTCACAGTATGTCTGAGGAACATAGAAGTTATCTGTAAATGCAGACATGTGGATATATTTTAAGGATGAAATAAGTCAGCTGCTCAGACTTCCTCTTTCATGCATGTGCAGTGATCCTCCAGTAGGTGGCACCCTAAGCTCATACATAAGTGAGAGGTATGTAGTTTGCCTCTTATTTTCAATAGGGTGGTGATGTATAGTTACAAGTACACAGTAAACATAATGACAACATACTGTATTTCTACCAGCTCACACACAAGCAAACACACTTAATCTCCTCCTGAAGGAAACGAATTCCCTACCACCACCTCCACCGCAGGTCACTCCACACAGCACAGATCTCTATTGGTTGACTTTAATCAAACAAAACTTTAATTTCATCATTTAAAATGTGTTTATTGTTACATCACTTGGACGTTTGAGCTTCACTTTGCAAGCAGGAGGCAGCTTGTTTTCAGTGGTTGCACTTTTTTATTATTCCAAGCAGAGTATTTGTAAATGTCTTAAAACGTGTCGGAAGGGATCCATGTAGTTAAAATTCTTACCTTTATTTTTTTATATGATCACACATGAACTAGGTACTTCAGTAAAATAGATATCACATTGAATCATTAACCTCTGAATTATTTTTCCTATGGATCATTTCACTCACTGTCCCTGTGTGGTTTAGTACCTTCTTTAGGAGCATGCCAGCTCCTGTAGACTTGTTTTACTGTGCTCTTTCCTGCATTAATAACAGCTAGAAACACATGATCAGCCTCTGGATGGATAAACTGGCAGCATAAAAGTTATGCAGCGATGATTACCAACATTCCTCCAGAAGAGACATTTACGAGCTTTGTTAGCGTCGAGCCCAGATCACAAATTTAAAAAATGCCACAGGAGGGAGAAGCGGAGCACTTTGATGATGCTCCATGGATAATTTGCAAAGGCGTTTAATTTTCTAATGTCTCTTGATTACAATATTTTGGAGCCCTCTCTATGTTCTGATTTTACCAACTGAATGTTTAGTACAGTTTGTTGGTTTCACTCTTTTTGAACTGTCTCTTTCATGAAACAGATGACGTAATGTTGATCTGGCTGTGACAGGTGGTGAAGAATGACCTGAATTATTACTTAGTTTAGTCTTTCAACTTTACTTCTCCTACTTCTATATCTGTCTGCCTCCTGTTTACTTTCACATTATCTCAGTGAACTGAAAGAACTGTATATATTAAAAGGTGCTGAAGACACATATTAATATTAGCAGACTAATATTAGCTGACAGAATTAAAGTTGTAAAAGTTCACAGGTGTACGTGGAGCTAGTGTTGACCTTCCCTGTGCTGTCAGTAAAGAACTGGCTCAGGAAGTCAGCATTCAGAAACATCCTGCCAGGAAACCCCGCTCTTAATAGCTCAGTCTGGACATAGAAACATAAAAAAATAGCCTATTAGGTATCTATTAACTCATATACTACATACAGGAAACAGCATTTACCAAAAACAGATGCCTGGGCTGTCGACTCTTCCTGCTGACCTTCATCAAAGTGCCCTCCTTAACAAAAACCTGATTAAATAAAAAAGAACATATACACAGGATTAAAACAAACTGAACATTTCACACGTTTTCTGATAATGACACATGCAGGACGTCTGCAATAACTAATGTTGTTTCAGTCCAGGCCGTCTGGGGATTCCCAGCTGAATGACTGTGTAAAGGGCAACACAGGGGTGGTGCAGGGCAGACAGGGTGGGCTGGCAAGCTTCAGACAGAAACAATGCTGTTATCAGAGTCATACCCTGCCAGGCTGCAGCAGGTCTCGCTGGCCGTGAACACTGTACTCTATGTTGACCAGACGCAACAAGTTCTCCTGAGACAAAAAGAGAGAAAAGAACAGAGAGACAGGGAGGGAAAATGAGATGCCAAAATAAGAGAAATGATGAAAGAGCATTAGCGGACATGTTCCCGTAAACCCAAACTATTTCCTTCTGCTTGGCTATTTTCATGACGCCCTTTGTTTTTAGATGTAGTTATCACCTAGATCAAGCAGGCATGTCAAGTATTGTTCTCTTTAGAATAAGGTAGACAATTCAGAAATGTCATCACTTGACATATAACTATGACAACCGTATAAGTAACGACCAAAAAACTAAGAAAAAAAGTCAGGAGATCACCAGCATCATTGGGATTCATCCTCTGAGGGTCGTGAATGTCTGCACCAAATTTCATGGTGAATTCAATTTTCATGCATCAAAAACTTTATAACTCACATCTGATATCATTACCAAACATTTCTGTTTCAAAAAGTGATGCTTTTATTTTTTTGCTTGTGAAAATGGGTGTAAAGTGGACACTACTTTTGTTTGAAGGGGCCACAAGCCAGAAAGGCTCAGGATGCCTTAGTAGTGTGAAACATGGTGAAGTCAAACTGGAAAAAAGCATATCTTTATAGATGGCTTCACTGCTTCTTGTACCAGAGCTTGGTCTCCTGAAAGCAGAATCAGCCTTAAGTAAAAACTATGATTTATATCCTAACATAGGAAATATGAAAAAAGTTTTAGTAATATCATTTTTGATAGTTTGTTGGGGTGAAACGCTCTCATATTTCTTCCTCTGTGTACAAATCTATGCTGTGACGCTACATTTACCCAGGAAGCAGGTCACTTTCCTTCTTGAATAATCTATTTAGGACTTTTGGTGGATGATTGGGTGAGGAAGATCTTAAAGTTATTAGGGTGCCAGTTTTTTATCATAAATCTACAGATTCCGACTCTTTTCCAAACCAGAGACTTTGGACACACAGTACAAGAGAAGATGTGTAATTCTGGATGCACTTGTTTGTTTCCTGGGTTCAAGAGTTATATACATACATACAACATATACTTACACATGGCACTTACCCCATGTTTTAAACTGTCATTTACTTGGTCTGCAATGTCAGACACTATCGCCACAGCAGCTGAACCAGACAAACACAGACAGGGGGATCAGGAAAAATGTGGCATGTTAACAAGTGAACAGTGAATATTCATATTTGATGAAATGTTTCTTTATTCCTTGTGTCCGAGTAGAAAGCCACCTAAGATAAAAGTCAAAATGAGTCATGAGTCTGGACGTGACTACACATCTGCTATGGGATGGCCCTCTTATCGAAGATACAGTAAAAGATAGTGTTGCTGCAACTTGCCTTCTCATGAATTACACATTACAGTCTTCACATAGGAGAGGGCTGAAATAGCTTCCTGGTAGGTTACCACCACACACAAAGAAATCTAAATTGGCTCTCTCGTGGCCATCTCTCCATGCCAAATGAGCACAAATAAATTCCCTGTAAACGCACAGCGACAAACAGAGGCCAGTAAGGCTCTCCTGTGAGTAACAGAGAGCAGAGTGAGCAGCCTCTGTCCACACTGAGTCTGCTGTTTGTTTACGGTACCTTGGGTGTCTTCATATTCCTTGGAATCGGGGGAGAGGTTGTTCAGGTAATCTATAGGAGGAATGAAATTAATTAATTCCCCGTAAGAGTCAAGAATGAAACCACTGTAAGTGAAATATATTTGTATTGAGAATAGACCGTATTTAACTAAATCTTGTCCTTTATACTTGACTCACCAGTGAGGAGCATGCGGTACTGAGCAACACGCACAATGACCTGCAGGAGCTGATGCTTCAGAGAAACCTTCTCCCCAGCTGGACTCTGCTGCTGAGACAAATAACACAAACATTTTCTTTGCATCGTTGCTGTTCATTAGGATCACATTTACTGAAGAAATGCACATGAATTATGGCCAATCCACATGTCAGATTAATGAAAACAGTCACTGGGTTTTCACTGAGTGTGTAAAAAACTTTGACAAAGAAAATGAAAGTTGTGATGAGAAGCAAATTATACAACAACATTGGACCTTTGAGCACAACCACCAGTCATATTAATATTTTAAGTGTGACCAAGGGCCAATAACACAGACTGCTGGCCAGCACAGTACCTTGCACAATGTGTGTGTACGTGTGTGGTTTTGTAGTACTATTATTTGTTGTGGGGACATGAATCTGTTTACACAGTCACATTGCCACCTGCTGGTGGCGCTAGATGTGAATATGAGGGTTTTCACTTAAGTGATTACAGTTCATCCTGAGGGGGATGTGAATGTCTGTACCACACTATGATAATCCACTCAGTACTTCTCAAGACATTTCGCTCTAAACCACATCTGTCAACCTGATGTTGGCGACAGAGGAAAAGTCTAGAGATAACCAGAGTCACTTGGATTCATCCTCTGGGGATGATGAATTTCATGGCAATCTATCCAATAGTTTTCAGTTTGCACCGAAGTGATGGACCAACCAGCTGACTGACCTCCATGCTGCTAGCCTGGCTAAAAACTCTAAATGTAATGATGCAGCTGCACTGACATTAATAGAGAGAGGACCCAGGGGAAGCTAAGGACTTTGAAACACTGGTGCTTTTAAATCAGACAGAGAAATCTGCCAAGCTCTGCAATGATTTTCTGCCAACTCCTCTCTTCAGAGGTCTATAAAATGGAGGGAAAATACTGGAAACGCCTTTGTCCATAAATGAGATGCACGTACAGTATATAGTGCCACTGGATTTCCTTCTGCAATCCAGCTTGATTATTACAAAAGGGTGTAATAGTCTGCTCCACAATCTTGCCACTGATCTCTGCCAGGCTCTGCACTTAGCAGCTGGCTCGACAATGCTTTTGTAAATAATACTGAGTAATGAACAAATGCTGCAAACTCCCTGTTTTTTACACTTTTAAGCATATCGTATAATCATATCCTATTTTTTATAAGTTTTATACTTAAGATCTGTCAACTTAATATCCTCTGTAACAATGTCTCTGGCTGACTGGTTTGAAAGTTCTGTTCATTTAATTGAGGCCAATTACAACTCCCCACTAAAGTGCTCAAAAAGCTGTTGGGAAAGGCCAACATGTCAAACATATTTGTTCTGACCTATGACACATAAAATTTATATTTTTTGTGTCATGACTGTTTCTCTCAGCAGCCAAGAACACATTGTAGTTGTTCCTTTACTTACTTTCCTTCACTTAGCTGTCTGCCTTTACGCCCCCCCCCCACCCAACGCTGCGCCACCCTCTTCACCGCACACCACCACAAGCTCTCACCCCTCCAGCGCCAACTCCATTGCTCGCATACGACTCCATCCTACCAATAAATCTTCTTACCCGGTCGGAGACCTACGTACATCACACACTTGTGTCAACAGGGTATCCGGCAACATGTTTTGCCATCTAGTGCCCCTTCTGGGGCTCACTTCGCAAGCAAATGTCTATGCACGTAATGCCTACACACACTGGGGGAACTCTGGTAAACAGATAATAGACTTAATGTGCAGAGATAAGAAAGGACTCTTTGAAGCAAATGTATACATACCAGAGACAATATATGAGGGTTGCCACTTACTGCTTCTCGTTCCATAAAGTTTCCCGCTTGTTTTATTTCTAATTTCGAAAACACCAGCCGCAGTTTTCTTGTTTGTTCATTACCTCGCAACTTACGTTTTTTCTATTTAAACTACCAATGTTTCCTCTTTTAATTATGTGGCACACCACAATTCCCAGTTATTCGGTTTTTATTTTTTCATTGGATACTATGTGTACTAGCACGCCTATTCTTCCTATTGGACCAAAAGAACCAAACCTAATGCAATGGCAAGAAGTGGTTTTCTTCTTTTCATGGCAGCTTTGATTCCAAAATAGGAATTTTCTTATAATAACTAAAATTATAAACCGTACCAACGGCTGGGCTACGAGGGAGAGGGAAGCAGGAGCGAGCGACAGTATCCGAACAGCATACAGGGCGCCTGGCACATTTCAAGAACTATGTGATTGTGGTGAGCCCAAACACAACTTCCTCCTGTTACCACAACACTGGGTATTTTGTTTCTTAGACTGTCACAAGCTATTAAACATCATTCTGAGGGACAATTTCATTCTCGTAAGGTGGTTCATATTGTAGTATACAGAAGGTGTTTGAAATGTCTTCGTAATTTGTTCATGACGCAATAGGAGAACAGCGCCGTATGGCCCTGACCTCAACTGGTGAACAATTGCTGCAAAGGCACGGCTGAGGTCCGGCCAGCTGTCCTCCAGCAGGCTCATACTCACCGGCTCCATAAGCGTTGGTCCATCGTGTACGTGTGTAAAACCAAGAACTCTCTGCTTTATTCTGGACAGGAAGAGATGTCTGCAATCCTCTGGCTCCTCCCTGAGTGAAGGAAACAGACGTGAGAGGATGAAGAGAAGTGGCATGCACCGGTGTGGTGTTCGGGACCCAGCTTATATTTTAAGAGCCTTTCTTCAGCTGCGATCATATCTGTGGTGCACTCTGTGGAGGCCATGGAAGAACTAAGGGAGGAGTTCGGGGAAGAGCTCCTTTCAGTTATCAGCATATGTTGTGATGGGTGTGTGCCAGTATTCCCTTCTTGCTCTCCAAATTCTGTGTATAGCTGTCCACGCAGTAGCGGATTCAAGATTCTCCAGCCTCACAGTGATGGACTCGGCGTGTGCAGAAGTGTAAAGACGTGCAGGCAAGACTCGTTGGAGAAATCTCTTTCGAAGCTCTCTTCTTTCCAGACACAATGGTTCCCCCTCTCGTCGTCCGCGACCGGCTGCCCCGCAGCTTATCCGGCTTCCCGCCGAAAGTCCTGGCGACAACGTGGGGCGGAAAGGCATTCTTTTTTATTGTTATATATTTAAAATCTGACTAAACTTAACACTCTTATCAGCAAAAGTCTGGCATTTTTCTTCAAACCTCCCTCTGCACGCATACAAGCTAGATAATATCTGACAGCAGGGAGTACATGACTATTACATCAAGGAATCTAATCATCTTTCGAGGCTGACCGCGAGCTGGGCAGAAGGTCTAGTGACAGAGGAGTAAACTCTAAATAGGGACAGTGAAGGAGCAGCATGTGTTCCTCCCTTAGGCCAATGGCAAGGTGCCCTTGAAGGCAAGGCACACAAAGCCCACTGCTCAGGGCCAACATGATGTGTTTGTACTTCTTGGCAGCTTTTAGACACGTGACTGTTGTATACATGCGCAGTCATGCTCACTGTACAACGCAACATATAACTAGCATTTAATAAAAAGCTAGTTCATAGAATTACAGGATTGGAATAAAAGTAAATCACTAGTTATGCCGTCCTGCTAAACATGGAAGTCAGAAAGATGAATTCAAGAGATATAAAATGTAAACCTGAGCAGAGAAACATGACTGCCTTTCTTTCCACAACGTTACTCTCTGCAACTTGCCCAATGTTTGCAGGAAGTTCGGGGCTGTTAACATGGCCTGACCGGTAGGGTTTAGAAGGGTAGAATACATAATACTTCATTCGCCATAGATGAATATCTGAAACACATACATTTGCATTAAGTAAATTTTAATTAGACCACACTTCACTTCCTGGAAGAAAGCTTAGAGAGCTGTCACATACCTGTGGACAGAGAACTAGACAACTTCAATTTTTAATTTAAAGGACCTGAATTTGTTTTGATAGATAAGAGATTGGTGGGATAGAGAGGAAATTAGTTTACATGTTACTAAAATATACAATTCGTAATCTGTAATTCCCCAGTTTCTTTTGCGATGTAAAAGGCTATGGATCGAGTTCCGCCAGGTCTGTATACATCTATTATTTTATTTGTAATAAAGCCAGGGTTAGAGAAAGTGCCTAAAAGCATTTTGGCAGCTGGATTCAAGCAAATATCGGCTGGCTCTCCTCTCCACATCCGTTCTCTCTAAGAGTCGTGCAATCAAATTCTATATATATGAGAAGACAGACCTTGTAGTAGCCCATTTTAATCCTCCATTACCCTACATTATAAAATCCTGGACTTGTGAGAGGGCAAATTTTAGGCGTTGCCCAAGGTGAAACATGTGTATAGTGTTCTGTTCTTCAAAATATGTCCGCAGATTTTCTATCTAGCATTCGGAAAAGAGTGATAGCCTTCCGCTTTTCAATAATAATTGTACAAAACATTTTACAGAATAGTGGGTACATGAAAACAAGTAGAAAATATGGACAAAGGCTAAGACATTTTTAAATTCTTAATTAGCTCAGTGATAAAAGGTACATGATAAATTTATATTTAAATTGTACCAATTTTAACTTAAACCTGTCTGTTCATAAAAACATTTGACTGGTACTGGCAACGAGCCGATCTGTCGCTCTTCCAGTGACGTACTGCCCGCTGGTCTTGCCACACTTACTCGCTTGTATTTTGTCCCCTGTAATTCACCCTTGTTAACCACTGAACCAGTCTGTGGACCTGGACAGCCACCGAGCCACATTGTAGGCTTCTGTGTAGGCACTGAGGGGAGGGAAAGGGTGGATCAGATCAGTAAAAAATAGGGTAACACAGTAACAAATGTAGACACCCAATATAAATGATATTGCACCGTGACGCTTCGTATATATTCACACTTTTCAGCCAGTAATACAGGTAAGTAAAAATCAATAATTAATAATTGCTGAAGGTCAATGCGACAAAACACGGTTCATAAGCTGCCTTGATGGCTTATTATTTCAGAAAAATTGGTTATGTGGGAAGAGTAATTTTATCTTTCGGAAAAATTTAACCACAGTTTTTCCAGAGAAAAACCTAAAAACTTCAAATACACTGCGATACAAATACGGTCCGTCGCAGTGGTTTCTCCAAAACCTTTTTTATCTTGTGACGGCCCTCAGGTATATCTTGGGACCACTTGGGGGGGGTCTTGAACTCCATGTTGTAGCATTTTTCAATTTTTAACAAAGTTGACTCACTTATTCTATATATGTTGAACGGCCTTCATTCATGTGAAAATAATCAGATGAAATTCATTTTAACCCAACTCAGGCCAAATCTTTAGTGGTCCATTATGGTCCTCTACTTGAAGATATCACTATATCATAAAACATACTGTATTCAGTGTTAGAAGCAAGTGTGAAATAGATAAAACATTGTAGGGTCTACAGAAACCAATAAACTGAATCCCTGATGGGCCTGCGGTGACACTGTACGCCATACAGCTATGGACGGCATGTCGGTTATTTTTGCATAAAATGGACGCCCGCTAAGATAACGCCGCAAGATTCTCTTCTGCAGGGAGGCCCAAATGAATATGCAAATGGACTGCAAGCTCTCAGTGGGGGGTGTAAGCTATGCAAATCACAAAACAGGTATTATAGTTACAGTGTGGATGCATTGTATGTATGCGCTAATGTGACCAATTATCCTTCCAAATGTTCCTAAACCATGTTTCCACCACCCATTTTAAACCAGCCGTTTTCTCTTTTCCTTCCCTCTGTAATTCCAGTCCCCCCACCACCCGGATTTTAACCCTCCAGTCTTCCTATGACGTTGTCATTCATGTAATTAACGTACCATCATGGAAGCACAAGATCGTGTAGCAGTTTCAGATCTCTGCATCGCACACCTAAAAGTGCGTAGTTCAAAGAGTGGACAATAGATATTGCTGCTATAAAAATGCTCCCCAGGCAAGGATTAGTTGCATTGTCATATTAGCGGTGATTCGGTAGTTGAGAAATATGCGCCAGGAGTGGTTTGCTGAACTCTCGGTTCCCCACAAACGTACTGCACAGTTTCTATATTAGGCTTTTATATCACTTAGTAAACCATCTCTGTCACATCTCGACAGTCCTGGCATGGTTGTACTTGAGCGCTCACTGGTCGCGCTGGAAAAAAAGAACTGTCTGGTAGGTTGGTAGTTAAATTAATTACAGATAGGGATTATTTGGTATACAGAAATAAATTATTCCTAATGGCTGAATTATATCTTTACTGCCAGGTCTGCGGTTTAACACAGGCTCAACACATTTAAGCGTACTTACCTTTTGGGTGGTAGCCTTTATTTGTTCCACTGATGGTGTGGCAGTGGATGGAGGGCACCTAAAACGTAATCTATGCCAACCAGATAATAAGGCTCGTCCAGATTGCCTATAACGCTTGCTAATATTTAACCTCCTTTCGGGCTTATTGGCAAAAAAACTAAAAAATCCTCAACCATCCGCACTACTGTCCATGCGGATATTGCTCTGCTGTGGTTCAGTCAACTGTATTCACCGGGAGCAGACAATCATAATCGCTCCATACACTTTTTCACTGGTATTATCGGGTAAGAAAGCTTGGGCTCTCACAATAGGGCAATTTAACCTTGGCAACTGTGTATTTTGTGAAATAGACAAGCAAATGACATAAAATTACAAAAACTCTTAGTACGACCCAAAATGTGCATTAAAGAAGAGAGAGGGGTAGAAGTCTTTTAAAGATATCACAATTCAGATTATTTTGACTCTGACTTAAGACGCTCATGTTAAATGATACAGTCTGAAGTCTCCCAACAAAATACAATATGATAAAAAAAATGGCATCCATACTAAGATAAGGCAGACATAAAACATTCTTCAAGAAGGAACCTAATTGGCATGTAACATTTTTAGGGTCACTAAAAATGATATTTTTTAGGGGGGGAAGTAATAATGTCGTGTCATGGGGGCAGCAGGAAGGCAGTGAACTCACAGGTCCATACACACTATGTAAATATGGATAATACCTGAACTCTTTGCTGACACCACTCGCTAACATCAGCATGAAAGTAGCATAAACCAACGATTACAAAGCTATCCATAAAAACCACAAATGTCAAAACTTATGTTAAATCAAGTCTTACCAGCAGAGTTATGCTCATTGTGACGACAGTAAGTCTACCACAAGCAGACACGTATCACATCTGTGTGATAATAATCACTGAATTAATCACTTTATAACTTGTATAGCTAGACTGACGAAAATCACAATCTTTTCCAGCTTCACGTGAATGAAACGGCATGAGAATTGAATTGATGTGTCCGAAAAAACAAAAAGCAAAAAAACGCAGTTGTAAAACTCACTACTTGGTGATCAAGATAGATCAAAAGGGAACTTAGGTCATCCAACGCACCTTTTGGTTATGGACTAGAACCGCAGCAGGCCTGGAGGGCACCTAAGCAGAGTGGATTTTAGACGCTAGGAATGAAGATTGTGTACTTACTTGTAATCTGTTAATGTGCTTATGTCTATGTTAGCGCTTTGACAAATGTTTTGTTTCACCACATTTTATTATCCATCTCAACAAATATTAGTATCTGAAAGTGGATATTAAAAGTCTACACATGCCCTGTTAAATTTAGCAAGTTTTTGTGAATGTAAAAAAAATGAAACCGGATAAATAATTTCAGACTTTTTCCTAACCTTAAATGTGTTAAAATGTTTTAGCCATTTGCAATAAAACCGGATGTATAAGTGTGCACACAATTAAAACTAATACAGTTGAAGCACCTTTTGATTTCATATATTTCATATTTGAGTAGGAGTCGACACCTTGACAACATCTTGACCTTGTTTTATATTTGCCCACTCTTGCTTTGCAATATAAAAAAAAAACACACAAAAAAAAAAACTTTCAGATTTTGTCCAAACTGTTAGGGATGCTCCTGTGGGCAACGGCGCCTCCTCAGGTCACCCCACAGAACTTTCATTTGGAGTCAGGCCTGGGCTCTGGCTCAGCCATTAGAAAGCCATTCCTTTGATATTCGGGATGCATGCTTTGGGTTTCGCTGTCATGCTCAAAGGTAAAATTCCTCTTTGTCTTCAGCTTTGTGGCAGATCCTGAAGGTTTCACGCTGCTTTCACTACGGGTATGATGTTCTTTTGGGTGATGTGCTGTGTTGGTTCCTTGTGCAAAACAGAACCTTTTGAAATTATGACAAGAAGGGTCCAACCTTTGGTCTCATCAGACCATCCAACACCAACGTTTTTCCAGCGATGTTTTTGGGGAGACTGGATATATTTTTTTTCTTTTTTACAAGAATTCACCAGGCCTTGGATGCTTGATCTTTTTTTTCCAGTGCAAAAGGTCTATCTCGTGTTGGCTACAGGAGCCTGGGCCCCAGAGCGCCAGACATATGAAGAATAGGGGAGATTGTTGTCACGTGTAGGGAAGGCTTACCTAAGTACTTGCCCAGAAATTTCTGCAGCTCCTTTAATCGTTGCCGTAGGCCTTTTGGGCAGCCTGCCTGACCAGTCTTTCTGCCTTGTCTTTTGATTCTATTTTGGAAAAGGGCAACGGTCCTGTTTCTTGGGTAATGTCGACGTGGTTGTGCGCATTAGTTTTTCCTCTCTCACTTGTTTGATGATTGTTCTCCACTGTGTTCCAATGAATATTCTCACTAATAGCCTCAGAAATCCTTTTTGTTCCCACTTTCGCCTGATTGATTCCTTTCAACAATGAACTGGCGTTTTGTGGCACCACGGCTTTTGCAGGAGGAAGATGTCAGGAAGATCCAGCAGGAAGACTTTATTGAGGGTTAATCCATCACCTTTAAATTGATGGCAGGTGTATGC